TGCTCTCTCTCGCTCTTGCTCTCTTTCTCTCTCTCTCTCTATCTCTCTCATTCTCTTGCTCTCTCTCGCTCTCCCTCGTTTTCTCTCTCTCTCTCTATCTCTCCCATTCTCTTGCTCTCTCTCGCTCTCCCTCGTTTTCTCTCTCTCGCTCTCTCTCTCTCTCTCTCTCTCTCTCTCTCTCTCTCTGTCTCGCTCTCTCTTTCTGATTTCTTACTCCCTCTCCCCCTTCTGTCTACCTCTCTCGCGTATTGCCACCTTGCACATAATAAACGCAGAGCTATCACACACTCCTGGAGTTTCAATCCTATGAGCTTCCCTATCCTACGTGTACACTCGTCTCACACGCCGACATTTTGGCAACGACAAACTTTGAGTAAAGTTCACAAGCCATATTGACTCAGTGATTTCCGCCCCCCTCCGCCACCACTACCACCACCGCCGCCGCCACCACCATCAGCAACATATACGATAGTGTTGGGTAGTATATTTCGGGTATATTCACTCCACTCGCCGTCGCTCCTGACCACCCAGTACATCTGAGAGTATGCCCTGTACTATAAGCCAGTGGGTTGAAACTACACTCGCACTCGATTCCCAGAATCCCTTTACTCGCCATGGTCAGACCCCATAAAATTTACTCGTGGTGGATTCACTCTCCCCTGTTATGGCCAGACCATAGTTTGTCTAATTTTACTACGTGGAGAGTATAGTGTGAACTATACGCGTGGTAAACTCATTTAACCTTGCTATGGCACATTAGCCGCGTTCACACGTAGCAAGAAATCCGGTATTTAGCGTTCACACGAGGCAAAATGCGCGGTCCAAAAAATACGGTGTCTAAACAGATCCGGTATTTCATGTAAATACGCGGCTTCCCAGACCCCGAATAATTTGCCGTGCTTGAGAAATACCGGATCTCTTGGACCGCGCATTTCCCCGTGTGAACGCTAAATACCGTATTTCTGAAGCCGCGTATTTTATAGACTGGTCCGCGCTCGACTATTCCAGTGTAACGCGAGCGGAACTGTCGAGCGCGGACCAGTCTACGTATTTTATTGGCAGTTGGTGCGCATTGCATTGTTTATTTCGCATTGTTCGCTTGATTGTTTAAAGCAGCTCGCAGCTCGTAAATACCGTATTTCTGGAACCGCGAATCAGCGTGTGAACGCTCGGCCGCGTATTTGTCTCAGATTCGGTATTTCGCAAATACCGTATTTCTGGAGCCACAAATCAGCGTGTGAACGCTCGGCCGCGTATTTGTCTCAGATTCGGTATTTCGCAAATACCGTATTTCATAAATACGAGGTCTCGTGTGAACGAGGCTTATATGTATGTGTCAGTGTGCGGCAGCGTGCGCGCGGTGTACATGTGTGTTGCAGAGGAGCATTTGCACGGCAGGAAATTGTCGGCAATAATAGGCGAAAGAGAGAAACATTAAGACTTTTGTAGGAAATAGATTTCGTATTTATTTAGCATTATAATTTATTGAAACGCTCCAAGTGCCTGTGCCCCGCACACGCAACTCTCTGTGAGTCAGCGGGAAGGAGCTGGGAGGGTTAGGTACAGGAAGGTAATGGCACACCGCTACCACCACCACCACCACCACCACCACCATTATATGGTGGTATATATCGATATGGTGATGGTGCCTCGGGGGAAAGATATAGTCGACAGTTGTAATCTCTCGGGTGCGTGTTGATCGTGGACTTAGAGTCTCATGTACCTATCGCTGTCCGGCCGCCCTTATCTATTTTTTAATAGTGATCGGGTGTCTCCGATTGGTGGAATAAAATGACTGGGCAAGAATTCGTCGTGCATCGTACGTGAGGTGAAAAAAAAAAGATTTCGAACGAGATGTGGTTTATTTGCGAGGCACGTATTGCGAGTTCAGATTGTTGACTACTGAGTTCAACTACGCGATAGTATGAATATTTATTTATTATTTTATTAACAGATGAATAGAAAAAATACACGAATACATTTATCGGCGTATAATCCATCAATAAGTAAATAACTGATAAATAGGTACGTTTTATTTTATCACAGAATATTTATTACTGGGTTCTAAGTTCAGGTAAAATATCTTGTGTTCTTGTACAAGCGTACGTTGATGCGTGTTAGAACAAACGTTTCACCATGAATGCGTACTTAGTTACTATTACGTTTAACTAATTACTTTACTACTTATTACTTTATTACTTTATTACTTTACGTAATTTCTTTACTATTACGTGATCTAGACTATTTATAGTGTACTAGTTACTTAGGTACTTAAGTTTTATATCACCGGGGCTATTTGAAAGTAAAGGTTTTTAAACTATTTTAACCTTCGTTTTTTGTTTTTATGTTCTCTATCTTTCTTCCTCTCTCTCTCTCTCTCTCTCTCTCTCTCTTTCTCTCTCTCTCTCTTTCTTTCTCTCTCTCCCTCCCTCTCTGTCTCTACCTATCTATCTCTCCAACTCTTTAACTTTCATTCTTTCTTGCGCTCTCTCTTTCCTTCTCGCTCTTTCCCTCTTCCCTCTTCCTCCCCCTCTTTATTCTTCTCGCTTTCTCTCGGTCTCTTTCTCTCTCCCCTCTCTCTCTCCCTCTGAAGAACGCAACTAAATTGCTCAACCAACGAACGCCACGCGTAGCTCGACACGCAAACGTATTTGAGTGACGCGAGCTTGCTTATTTTGTCCCCGTAATTTGTGTTTTTCTCCAGAATTACAAAACACGTATCAGATTCATAACATGACGGTTAGCGCGCGTGCGTGCGAAAGAGAACGAGCGAGAGAAATCCATCCATCCATCCATCCATCCATCCATCCATCCATCCATCCATCCATCCATCCATCCATCCATCCATCCATCCATCCATCCATCCATATGTAGCGACGCTGCGCTCCACATACATACATACATACATACATACATACATACATACATACATACATACATACATGATACATACATACATACATTCATCCATTTATCTATCAATCAATTTATCCATCCATCCATCCATTTATCCACCGCTCCATCCATCTATCCATCCGTCCGCCCGTCTGTCCGTCCGTCCGTCCGTCCCGTCCGTCCGTCCATCCGTCCGTCTGTGCATCCGTCCGTCCGTCCGTCCGTCCGTCCGTCCGTCCGTCCGTCCGTCCGTGCGTCCGTCTGTCCGTCCGTCCGTCCGTCCATCCGTTCGTCCATCCATCCATCCATCAATCCATTTATCCATCCATCTATCCCTCCATCCATCCGTCCCTCCATCTAGCTATCCATCCACCCACCCATCCATCCGTCCGTCCGTCCGTTCATCAATCCATCCATCAATCCATCTATCTATCTATGTAGCTATCTATCTATTAATCCGTCTATTCATCCAACCACCCACTCTTGCACGCGCACATGCATACACGCATGCTCGCATGTATTATTATAATGCGCTATCCAGTGCCGTTATTGATAGAAAGTGACACGCAATGTGAAGATTTTAACGAGTTTGGCTTACCACATAAACGGGAGATGATATAAAAACGCGGCTCTATCAATAAATTTTATACATGCACATATGCGAAAATTGGTCGATCAAATATACAGCAGAACAACTCGCCCGACATACGCAAAATTCTGCGGGATCCGACACTGAGAACACGGGTTTTTAACCGGGGCTGCGATTATGATTTGTGCTAATTATTCTTCGGCGGTTTTCGCCTAGGATCTTAAACAAACTCGTGCACACATCTAGGTGGCCCGTCAGATTCCAGTCGCATTGCAGCGACTGACAGCTGCTGCTGTTATCCGATACTACACTCGTTACGCATGGCGGGGCGGAGCTTGTGACGTCACTCAACGCCGATAACACCCATCCATTGCTCTCTCCGTGAATTGCACACAATAACGGAGCAAATCGAACATTTTTTCGACGTTTTCGCACTACCGTCGGTACAGTCGAGAACGTTTGGTGTGAAATGCGTTAGAAGATGCGCAGGTTCTTGCGTACTAGCGAGCAGATATCGTTTTATAAAATGTGGCGTTCTTGTGTCACTATGATTGATGGCTATGTTTTCGTGCCCTCAGCGCAAACCGTAGAAGAAAGACGGGACATACAGCTACTGGTTCATGGAGTGTGATGGGTCTACTGCGATATCACAGCCCCGGCCCTGGCCCTGGCTGTTTGATGCTACTTATAATCATTCTACGGCTATCCACTACGTACGGTAAGTGAAAATTTTAACATAATTCCGGCGAAGCAGCGCATCCGTGGAAGATAAACATGTTGAATAACCAACATGGCCGCCACGGGTCTGAATTTCTCGAGCAAGGCGATGCTGTAGGCATCGTTCACAACATAAATACGGCCCAACGACGTCACCGCCGACTTCATCTCGCCTTTTACTTTCTCGCAGGGAAGAGTGCGTGCCGATTCGAACACTGCAACCGTCAGTACGAGCCAGTTGATATCGCGCACAACGTGAAACGAGCAAACGTGCTAGACTACTGCCAAGTGTTGCGAACATACGCCGAATGCATACGCGCTACGGCGCGCGGATGCCGAGGCAACATCGGCTACCACGGGACGGCCAAGATGGTCGAGGCGCGCAACGAGGAGAACAATTGCTCGTACGTGCTATCGCACGTCGACAGCTTCGCGTCGGCGACGGCGCCGCCGCATCCGCGCGCCGTCGCCGAGACGACGATGTGCAACTATGGCGCGGGCCGCGTCGAGCCACTCGAGTACGTGCAGTGCGCGCTCTTCGGAGACCCGCACCTGACGACGTTCACTAACGAGTTCTACACTTGCAAAGTGGTCGGCGCGTGGCCGCTGATAAGCAACGAGTACTTGTCCGTGCAGGCGACAAACGAAGCCGTGCTCCCCGGATCCAGCGCCACGGCAACGACGAAGGTACGTATGGCGCGTTGCCGCCATGGCGACGCACGACAAAAACAAGAGTGCAGCGCAACGACGCCGACGACGACGATGGTGGCGACTCCGTCGGCGATGGCAGTGACGAAAATGCAGCAAAACTAAAACGACGCTTACAGCGAGGGGTCAGGTTGAATTTAGGATCCTGATGCATTCATCCATCGTCAAATCTAATCGTTAACCGCTAATCCTAACTGTAACCAGTGGCGTAGCCAGGGGGGGGGGCAATGGGGGCGGTCACCCCCCCTAAGATTTAGAAGGCTACCTTATTTAAACCGGCAGCAGGACTGTTTCAAGTCGATAAAACATGCCAACAACATGCACCCGCCCCCCCCCCTTAGATTTAATCCTGGCTACTCCACTGACTGTAACCTAACCTAACCTACTACTAATTGCATCGTTATTGACATGGATCGTGAAGTAGGTTTGACCCCACAACCATAATGTAGTACAAAAGTCACACGACAACAACGACTACGACAACAATAACAACAACGACAACAACAATAACAACAACAATAACAACAACAGCAGCAGCAACAACGATAACAGCACAACAACACGATAATAACACACGACGACAATACGCAATAACATCGAACAGTAACATGATAAGAGAGAAAGTGCCAGTAGGATGTAGGTATACATCTCGTGTGCCCCAGGAAGTGGACCTTTGCTCTCGTTGCGACAGTCTCACGACCGTACTCTGCAGCAATGCTAGTTGCTCCCCCTCGCAGGCGATTTACCTAACCTCTGTACTGTTTGCCAAAAAAAAAAAAAATGCTAATAGAGCACAAGTTAGCCTGTAGGTGGCACCACTGAGAGATTGCCTTGTTTACATTTGACATTGATGTTCTTCATTGATTTCTATACGTGCAAGGAGTAAGTGATACTCAAAATAGTATAATAACTACTAGTAATTAATCATTGTAAATGATTACTAATTGGGACATTGCTACGTGCATCGCTCATAAAGGGCGAATTTCGTCACCGCGTGATTCGTAACCAAAACGTCGGGATGATATCCCAGTATTGGATCAATTTTCCGCCGCAAACTTGCATTACCGCAACGACTCGGCCAGTAACATCGCGCGCGTGAGCGTTGTTGACTCGTGGCGCCATCTACTCGCATTCCTCGCTCGCAAAAATATCGGATCGTTACGTTCGCGCGGATTAACGAACGTAATTCCCCGTCCTCCGCATCGTCGTACGAAATTGCGGAGTCGCCGCTATTAATTTCGCGTGCGCAGCTGCAGCATCGTCGTCCACCTTAATTGAAGCCCCGACGATGACGAAGCCCTCGTCCGTGTCATTAGCAGTAATTCTGCGGCAAGGAGGCTGCGACCTCCGTGTGTAGCGCGGGTGAGTGGGTGAGTGCGTGAGCGCGCGCGGGCGGCGGCAGTGTTCTATGCTAATCAATACTGCAGCACTATCTCTGCGAAGGAGGTCTGCTATCTCTGCGCGCTGAGTAGGGTGGCTTGCTGAGTAGGGTGGCTTGCTGAGTAGGGGGAAGCCATGGTACTCGCGTGTTAGCAACGCAACGGTCCTGTCGCTGCGTGTTAGTGTGGGGATGGATGACATGAGGGGTCCCACACTCTCTGTCGCTGTCTCTCTCTCTCTCTCTATCTCTCTCTCTCTCTCTTCTCTCTCTCTCTCTCATCCCCTCTCTCACTCCCCCCTTTCTCTCGCTCTCACTCTGTCACTCTCGCTCTCACTCTCCCTTTCCTTCTCTCCCACTCGGTCACTCTCCCCCTCTCTGTCTCACTCTTTCACTCTCCCTCTCCCTCTCTGGCTCTCACTCTGTCACTCTCCCTCTCTCTGTCTGTCTCACTGTCTCTCTCACTCACTCTCTCTCTCTCACTCTCTCTCTCTCTCACTCACTCTCTATCTCTCTCTCTCTATCTCTCACCTCTCACGCTCTCGCTCTCACTCCCCCCCTCTCTCTCGCTCTCACTCTGTCACTCTCCCTCTCCCCCCTCTCTCTCACTCTCTCACTCTGTCACTCTTCCTTTCCCTCCTCTCGCTCTCACTCTGTCACTCTCCCTCTCTCTCTCTCTCTCTCTCTCACTCTCTCCCTCTCCCCCCTCTCGCTCTCACTCTGTCACTCTCAGAGAGAGAGAGAGAGAGAGAGAGAGAGAGAGAGAGAGAGAGAGAGAGAGATTTAAGCTGTCGCATGAGTGAGGTCATGCACAGCGGTACTGCGCAGGACAGCGTTACACAGCTGTCACTGTGTTAGACAGTCAGGTGCTAAATGCGCCCCCCCCCACACAAAAAACAATCCCCGGATAAAGCAATATCGTTAATTATTTGTGAATTTAATCATCGAATTTGCTCTCATCAATTTTGTCGCACTCGCATTTATGATCAAAATGGAAGTAAACGCGCGAAATAGCGCACGTGCGTGCGTGTGTGCGTGCATGAATGAGTAAGTGCGTACGTGAGTGCGTGCGCGCGCGCGCGCGTGTGTGTGTGTGTGTGTGCGTGCGTGCGTGCGTGCGTGCTCGTATACATTTCACCCGCCCGTCATTAGAGTTATAATTTGGAAGCGTTGAATTTCACCTGGTGTGTCGGTTTCCATAGCAACTCAACACCTGCACGTCGCAGGCGGCCGCAATCGATAGACGCGCCAGCCTCCCTCCCAGCCGCGTGTATCATCATCGTCATCATCATCGTCATCGTCATCGGCATCGTCATTGTCATCATCATCGTCATCCGCACGCGAAACTCTAATCGTACCCACGTCAGAGCTGCCGGTGAAAATATTATAATCCCGAGCGAGAAATTTAAAATCTATAATATACAGTGAAGCGACGCGGTCGTAAAGATGGAAAGCTTTAATGAAATTTGGAGAGATCGGCAGGTGTGGGAGAAATGGGGAGGAGGAGGGGAGGAGGAGCGTGGAGGAGGAGGATGAAGAGGAGAAGGAGGGGGAGGAGGAGCGGGAGGGGGAGGCGAGAAGAAGCGATATGAGGAGGAGCGGGAGGGGGCGGAGGAACGGGGAGGAGGAGGAGCGGGAGAGGGAGGAGGAACGGGGGGAAGAGGAGCGGGAGGGGGAGGACGACGAAGAGAAGAGAGAGGAGGAACGGGAGGGGGAGGAGGAACGGGAGGAGGAGGAGCGGGAGAGGGAGGAGGAACTGGAGGAGGAGGAGCGGGAGGGGGAGGACGACGAGGAGAAGAAAGAGGAGAAGGAAGGCGACGAGAAGGAGAAGATGGAGATTAAACCTCGTTACCAACGGCGTTGAAAATTCATTAGAACGGTACCGTCGCGGTGTGTGCGCGCGAGAGAGATTCCCCATGACCGGGCGCGAGCATGCACCCGCAGAAATGTATAGAGACAGACTAGTCCTCGGATAGACTGCAGGACCAGCCATCAGTTCGTTTCGTACAACCGTTAGAGTGAATTGCTGCATGTAGCGAGAGACCCTCGTCCACCCGATGAGTGAAGCGTTGCCCTGATTAGTATTGCATTTATTTCAATAGAGATCATCTGTAATACGTTCACGCACGCGATCGCATCATTATACGTGCAGTACCGGAAGAGAGAGAGGGAGAGCGAGAGAGAAAGAGAGAAAGAGAGAGAGAGAGGGAGGGAGATGGAGAGAGATAGAACGAGAGCGAGAGAGAGAGAT